GAGAGGAAAAATCTATGTACCACTGTCTTGTAAAACCAGACTGAGATCTGTGGAGGCTTCTGGAGCAAAGGCAATCTTAGTGCAGTTTGAGCAAAAACTTCATCGCTATTAACTAAGGGATGAGGATTTTAGCTTGGAAGGTGATGTAGTTTTCATGTGGTCTTTTTTTTTTTTCAAAACTGAGAATAACTGAATGGCCTTATGTTATAGTGACAGACTCTTTATTGTCATTCCTTTGCATTTGCAATACCAAAAAATTCCCATCTGCCTAAACTATAACCTCAGGCATAGTCATTTGAAATGCAAAGAGGTGCTTGAACTGATAATGAAATAAAAATTTATTTCTATAAACAAGAGCTGAGAAGAAAGTTCTCCAAAAAAACATTAGATACTGATGTCTGTGTTAATGAGTCATGTCTATATCAAGAAGAGTTTCATGAATCAGTTTAAAAAGTCCGTAATGTTACTATCATTGACTACACAGACAACCTTAAGTGGACAGGGATTTACCCTAACTAGTTTGTGAACAAAAACCAGAGCTGAGGTTTTGCTCGTGGTGTTGCGAAGCAGGTGAGAAATTATTAGGTATCCGTCTGATACCTGATAAAGAAAGAAAGATAATTAGTTAGGAAAGAAAACTGTCTACATTTCCTTTTATTTAACAAAATGAAATTTAACTTAATTTATTGCCTTTTTATTTTTCTTTTTTCATTTTATAAGACAGGCCTTTGGAGCTTGATAATAGTGGCAAATCAAACGCATATAAATATAAATATACATATAAATATACACTATATGGCCAAAAGTTTATGGACACCTGACCATCACACCCATGTGTGGTTTTTGAACATCTCTTTCCAGATTCAGTCCCCCTTTGCTGTTATAATAACCTCCATGCTTCTGGAAAGGCTTTCCACTAGATTGTGGAGTGTGGCTGTGGGGATTTACATGGGCTTTGCCCATTCAGCCACAAGAGCATTAGTGAGGTCTGGTGAGGAGGCCTGTGGTGCAGTCAGCATTCTTTCACTTCGACCTTGGCAAACCCTGTCTTCATGAAGCTTGCTTTGTGCACAGGGACATAGACATGCTGGAGCAGGTTTGGGCCTTTTAGTTCCAGTGAAGGGAAATTGTAATGCTACAGCACACAAAGACATTCTACACAACTTTGTGCTTCGAACTTTGGGGAAGGCCTAAATACAGGTGTGATGGTCAGGTGTCCGCAAACTTTTGGCCATAGTGTAACAACAGAATAAGCCCATACAATTTTTTTCTTCATCTGATGATGATGGAATCAACCTTTATTGATTCTACAGATTTCTTGACAACCTTTGAAAAACAGCTGAAGATTCCACTCATCTGAGAATATGTATCTTTATTGTTTGAAAATATTTATTGGCCCTTAAAGAAGCTTTACTCTAAATGCTAATCACATGCCTTCCCAGGTAAAAGATGCATACTAAAAGTGCAAAAGGATGTATCCATGATGATACCACTGACAATGACACAGAAAAGTGCTTTGTGTATGAGAGTGTACTGCTGAAATGCCGGACAAGAACTAGTTGCACTGGGCCATTTTTGATCCAGATTTAAAATACTATTTAAAAAAAAAAAAGAATGTCCCTCAACCATACGAACATTTATTTTCAGATGAATGCACAGATGTGTGCACATGTCCCTTCAAAAGCCGAATGTCACAGTTTTGTCTGCTTTTTACCCCAGTGATCTCTAATTTTGTCTAATAATATAAGAGAAAAACATAACAAAGCCATGGTAACCATCAAAACAAACAGTTACTGTATTTTTCAGGTGTTTCTCGTGGTTTGCAGTTGCACGAAATCCTGGCCGAGTTGAGCGTGGGTTTGGATATTGGACTCATAAGGCAAAGCATCGCGTGCAGCCGCTGATGTCAAAACACCTCTCGAAATGATTAGTCTTTCGCGTTTTCAGTCATATTGCGTGCCAGTCTCTTTAAGAGAGGTTTAAAAACTCAAAAACGGTTTCATTTGCTCAGAAATAAATGGTAGTGATGCTCTCTTCACAGTGAAAAATATTCACTGAAAAGGATCCATTAAATAGGCTGTAGCAGCTATGGACCAGTGTACGCGCCCCACAATGTTGGAAGGCCAGCACACTTGATAGGTACGTGGTTTTAATTTGATGAGTATAAAGAGATCTGGTGTGATAAAAGAATTTAAAATGATCTGTAGATTTACCGAAATACTATGTCTATAACCTACATCAGTTTGGTAAGTTTTAATGACTAAATATTATATTTATTTTATTCTAATATATATCCAATAGCCTATTACTATACACAAATAATTGAGTAGTACTATTAATACACTTTAATACCATTTTAAAATATACTGCAAATATTTTTGAGTGGTTTATTCTTGGGTGTAACAGGTGTTTTTTATAAGTATTATTTTATAATCTAATCCAGTTTAATATCTAAGTATATTCTTTTCTAAATTTGTTCAGAAATATAAATGAAAAAAAAAAGACAATAAAACAATAAGATAAAATGAATTCTTAAAGATCTCCATTTTAATTGTCTTCACATTTCAAATTAGCCTATTATTATTTATTAGCCTCCAAAACTGATTATAAATTGTGCGTTCATACATAAAAAAAAAAAAAAAGTAAAATAAAATAAAATAAAAGTCTTTTGGCTGTATGAACTTTTCTATTTTACAGCTGGGACGTTTTTTCCATCAGTGGTATTAAATTTGCTGAAAATGCAAAATCCAGAATTTTGATAATGGTGTATTATATTATTTTGCATGACTAGGCCTGTTTCCATGAGTGTAATTTTAATAGTGTGGTAATTCAAATGCACAAGTTTTTACTGAAAATATTTCCAATGTAAACACTTGACATTAATTCAAATAGAAAATAAAAAAGCCTTTAAATTGTAAGTTTAGTAGGCCTACTATTCCAAAAGAGAACTAATTCAAGTATTGTTATTTTATTTTAACAAGTGTTTATTTACTAACTTACTCCCTACTTACTTATTTACGTACTTATTCCCTACTTATTTACATACTTACTTACTCCCTACTTACTTATTTACTTATTTACTTACTCCCTACTTATTTACTTACTTACCTATTTGCTTATTTACTTACTCCCTACTTACTTATTTACTTATTTACTTACTCCCTACTTATTTACTTACTTACCTATTTGCTTATTTACTTACTCCCTACTTACTTATTTACTTATTTACTTACTCCCTACTTATTTACTTACTTACCTATTTGCTTATTTACTTACTTATTTACAAACTTGCTTACTCCCTACTTACTTATTTACTTATTTACTTACTCCCTACTTATTTACTTACTTATTTACAAACTTACTTATTCCCTACTTACTTATTTGCTTATTTACTTACTCCCTACTTACTTACTTACTTACTCCCTACTTATTTACTTACTTACTTACTCCCTACTTACTTATTTACTTATTTACTTGCTTACTGCCTACTTATATACTTACTTACATACTTACTTGCATACTTACCTATTTACTTATTTACGTCCTACTTATTTACTTACTTACTTACTTACTTACTTACTTACTCCCTACTTACTTATTTACTTGCTTACTCCCTACTTATTTATGTACTTACCTACTCCCTACTTACTTACTTACCTCAATTTGGTTTTCTAGACCAAAAAATAATTACAGATTAATTAGACATTAATTAAACAACCTGTACTTCAGTTTCTCCAGATATTGAGTGTATTTTTCATTTTTCATAAGTGATAACAGGAACTAACTTGTTTCACGGACATTCCACAAGTATAAATGGATAAAAAGTACAACATGATATTCTTAAATCAATAAAAAAAAATTAGCATCAGCAAATTTCTATAACAGCAATGTTATAGAAAAAGAATCAATCAATTAAATTCCTAATCAAATCCAACAACCTTTAACAAAGTGAAACAAAGGCAAGACAAATTTTTGCTTGAAATTTAAGTGCTCGTGCATTTATCTTTTTTTTTATTAATTAAAATTTTTTTTTTTAACTCAAAAATGGCATTAACATGTAAAAAGAAATGCATTAGAATTTGCTAATTCAGGAAAAATGCCATCTTGGTATTTTTAAAATATGTGATGTGTCAGCTTAATTTACTTAATTTTAAATTTAAATATCTAACATCAAAATAAAGTGCTGCAGTAGAGAGCAAACAAAATCAAAGATAACTTAATAACGTGGACTTCAAGAAAATATCTCCCATGACTACAGACTATGTAAATATGTAATGTTCTACATTTTCCAATAACAAATGCATTCATGAGGATATAATTGAAATTGTTGAATACGTTTTAAAACATGTCACTTGTAGAGATAGATAAAGAGACATAGACAGAGAGATTATCTTAAATATCATACTACACTGTTTTTGCTATGCAGACTGGTTTGTCTTACCTCTGTGTATGGGAATCAGCAGTGCCAAAGTATTGTGAGAAAGAGTGTGTGTGTATGTGTGTTCACGTGGGGTGTGCGTGATGATTGTGGTACTCTCACAGTAACCCCATGGATTTATATTAGACAGCTGACTTTCACATTAGCTTTCTGGTCTTGGATTTGTGAAAAAAAAAATGCTGTGGCATCAAACACACCCTGAGTGCACGGAAATACACAGCGTCAAACAGCTTTCTCAAGTTGTTTTTCTCTTTTGAGGTGGCACAAAGGAGGGGTTAGTTGGGTCGCAAGGTCAGGATCTTTGTAAATACAGTAAAAAGGCTGACATGAATGTAATGTCTCAAATAATAGAGACAAAAGAATCTCAAACTAGGCTGCTTAAATAGTGAAAATACCCTGGTTGATGAATGACAGGGAAATGTGTGTGTGTGTGTGTGTGTGTGTGTGTGTGTGTGTGTGTGTGTGTGTGTGTGTGTGTGTAGATTTAGAATCATTAGTGGGTTACAAATAACAGGCCACAAGTTTTAAAAGCTAGAAATAACTAAACTAGAACTAGAACTAGGGAAGTGGTAGCTCAGTGGTTAAGATGTTGGACTACTGATCGGAAGGTCATGAGTTTAATCCGCAGCGCTGCCACTGCTGGGCCCTTGAGCAAGACCCTCAACTGCATAAAATGAGATAAATGTAAGTTGCTTTAGATAAGAACGTCTGGTAAATGTAAAATGTTCTAAACTCTGATTGGTCAGATGGTGTTGATTAATTTGGACAGTAGTTCTGGCTGCAAACTTAATATATGTATTAATGTGCTCATTCTAATATGTTATCATTTCTATAGTAATTGACATTCCACATATATTTTTTTTAAAGATTTGCTGATATAGTGGTGTTTTTTGTTTTGTTTTGTTTTTGTGAGATGTTTATTTAACTTTTTATGGAAGGAGTCTCCAGTGTCAGCAGTCAGAAGTCAAGTTGGAACGTTAAGTTTTCTGACATGGCAGAATCTTCAGGACGGAGGTCTTTGCACTTTCTGCTTTCTCAGTAACATGACTAGCTGCTTTTCTGTTTTGTCTTATTAGCTTAGAGAAAGAAAAAGAGTTGACTGTTTTTTTAATAGTGCGAGTGATAAGAGGAATTAATTTGTCTTGCAAACTTTCCACAACATTAAAACCGTTTTGTTTTTTAATAAATAAAATTTGTGTTGGCAAATTACTGTGGTATAAGAGGAGCAAAAGACTTCAGGAAGTGCCATTATAGCAAAAAATATTCAATAACAAAGTACTGGCATTTACACCAGTTGTTATGTTTAGTATGTTTAGTGATTCTCTTTGTTCTTGCACTCACTCGTTTCCTCGTGAATTCGTGAGTAAACACTCGTTTACTCGTCATTGTCTGGCTCTTTGCTTGGCCTGCATGCTTTGTAATCACTTTGGATGTAAAATTTCAAATGCACAAATATAAAATGTGAATGCAAATGCACAGAAGGTCAGTAGAATTTTACGATATTCTTGTTTAAAGGCTACGACAACAAACCTTAAACTGATAGTGAGGCAATATGAAAAAAAAACAAAAAGAAAAATAAACAGGAAGTTTTGTATTGGCTCACTCATTTGGAATCGCAATCCAGTTGACCGATTACTTGATTACTTGAAATGTACATCAGATTGCTACTGCAGTGCAGATGAAGATGTCACTGGGTTGTATGTTCACAAGTAAGATCTTGCGCATTGGTCTTTTTCCAATCTTCAACTATAGCATCAGGGTTCTGCTCTTGAGAACGCCCTGCTGTTGTAGCCCATCTGTTTGATGTGTTGCGCATTCTGAGATGTTTTTCTGCTCACCGCAGTTGTAAAGAGTGGTTATTTGATTTACCGTAGCCTTCGTGTCAACTCGAACCAATCTGGTCGGTGTCCTCTATCATCTCTGATCAGCAATGCTGGGGGTTTCCACCTGCAGAACTGCGGATGTTTTTTTATTTCATCGCACCATTCTGTGTAAACTCTCGAGAGTCGGTTTGCACGAAAATATCAGGAGGTCAGCAGTTTGCAAAATACACAACCCACCCATTCGGGCAACAACAACAATGCCAAGTCAACAATGCCTTTTTTCCCATTGTGATCTTTGATGTCAACATTAACTGAAGCTCTTTCCCAGAATCTGCTTGATTTTATGCATTGCACTGTGTTGCTGCCGCATGATTTGCTGACTGGATAATTGCATGAACGGGTATGCTTAGAGCTGTTCCTAATAAAGTGGCTGGTGTGTGTGTGTATATATGTATATATATATATATATATATATATATATATATATATATATATATATATATATATATATATATATATATATTTTATATATATATATATATATATATATATATATATATATATATATATATATATATATATATATATATATATATATATATATATATATATATATATATATACTGTATGTATACATATAAATATATATATATACACACACACACACACACACACACACTATATATATATATATATATATATACACAGCTAAAAGGAAACCAAGGAGTATACAGTACATTCTATATACTTCACAATTTTCTCACCATTTCAGCCACCAAACTTTTCCAAACCTGTGAATAAAATCAGATCTGCCCTGACCATTTCCTCTCACATGCTGTCTTTTTTTAAAGACAAAAAAAAAGCAGTGTTTGTAGAGCATGTGTCAATAAAGCCATGCCGATATAATCAGTAGAAATTTCAGATTTTTACTCTCGGCAGACATTTTTATTCCAGACAAAATATACATAAAGTTGTTCAAAAAGACCGACAGTAATGCAAGTGCTGCAAAAAGCATTTCACCAAGTGCGAGACAGTGGTTAAAAAAGTAGGAAAAACCACAGCTAAACACACACACTTGCACGTAAATACACTAAGCATGGTGCGTAAAGTAACTAACAGTACTCTAGAGGGTTACAATTCTTAGTCACATGCGACAAACAACAATCTTACAATAACAGAATGGCAACTTGTAATGAGGGGTTGACAGATTTTATACATTATAAAGATATTTGGTTAGCTAGCATCATAGCTGCAATGCAGCAGTATGAATTTGCAGTTTTTCATGCATTGCTGTTTTTTGGGGCTGGGGTTAACATTAAGTCAGGTTATGCTTTACATACACACAGATTTTTTTTGTCATGGGTGCCAATAATTTGGAAACAGTCGCATTTAATTTATTGTATGTGTTATACCACAGCGCTGTTGAATTCTCAATTTGAACTGGTCAGGTTATTTTATTTATTTATTTACTTATTTTCGTTTAATCTATAATTGATTCATTTTCTATAAAATCAGCTCCAAGTCAAAACATGTTTATATTTAATACGCTCATTCTAATATGTCATCGTTTCTATAGTAACAACATACACAGGGATTTGTGGCGAATACTCCACCTAATCTAAGCCTATTAATTAAAAAATTGAAAGGAAAAAAAAACGTGTTATTTAACCAATTGTTAATCACTGATGTGTTCTGTGAGGAGATGTGTCTGTATTTAAAATTATTTATGGAAGGAGTCTCCAGTATCAGAAAGTTTTCTGACACGTACAGAGGACATTGCGGTTTCTCAATAACATGACAAAATGCATTTTCTTTGTATTATTAACTTCAAGACATTATAACATGAATGATAATTAAGCAATATGGCACAAGCATGAGTGTGGTGATATTAGTATAATATCACCGAGTATAACTGCACGATTGCGAGTGCGATATTGCTTTTATACAACAGTTCCATTACAAGAAGTTAATATCGAGTAACTGACATTTTGTACACAATATGGCCAGATGTTCTGTTTAATTTTTGCTCCGCTGGCGGAAATAGATCCGGAAGAAGCCACAATCACTTTTTAACACGTCGGCTAGCTGGCTAGCTAGCTAATGTTGATTTGTACATTCCCATTAATGGTGCTTCTGGTTTAACATCTTCATATGACACGCTTTTAGATTTTAAGTCAAAAGATATATTCATGAAACATGTACCATGTCCATTGATGATGTCGCTAACTCTAATCTAGTAACGGTTTCAGTGTATCAAACTATCGCTAGAGTTGGAATTTTACATACAAACAGTGAAATGTCCCAGTGCAGTTATAAAAAAACATAAGCAACTCAGCTTGGAACATCTCGTCCAATCAGATTAGTGGACCGGAACTAACTGTTGTGTAACAGGAAATAACTTGTCTCGTTGACATTCAGCAACATTAAACCTAAGATAAAAAAAAATATGATGATGTGTCACTGATTATTTTCCTATAAAAGCATGTCATGTTTTAAGTGTTTTTTTTTTGTTCTCTTATGATGTGGAGTTTTTTACAGTTGGGTAGCCAGTTTTAATTTTTCCTTGTTTATTGTGTTTGGGCATCAGAATTATATGTGGAAAAAGTTACATGATATAGTAAAGCATTTATCCTAGCTAAAGGAACACACTGTAAGGATCAAATGTAAAAATGTAGATTTTGATAGCTAACTCGACTGAAGGAACGTTCTGACGAAAGCATTAACCAGAATTAAGCCCTTACACCCGTACACAGTGTATTGTGTGCACTCAACAGAATGATAACAAAGTACACTTTTAAACGTTGATGAATTGGCAGTTGTGCTGGATCTGAGGTCATGACGGGGTTGTACCGGTTTCCCTATGGTGTACGAACGTGTGATCAGGTTAACCCAGGTGACTTTTCATGCCTGTGGTTTTGGGGCACTACCCAGTCTCTGTAGGGCGTATGCTGTAGGGGTCGTGCTAAGGTTAGGAGCATAGGAATGACTTCTCCTTACCCAGATGTGTGTCTGCCAATTCATTTAGCTTCACATATTAATGTATTGCACGTAGAACATGAGGGTTTTTTTTTTTCATGTCATTGTTTTCTCTCCCACCATTAATTTATTTTATTTTGCACATGATTTTTTTTCACACAGTTCCTTTATTTCACACACCGCCACATGATTAACTTATTTTCACATGTTAATGTCATGCATGTGGTTTTAGTCTTTTCCCATGTGATCACACACTTTTTACATGATATCACGTGTCTACTCATTTGCAGGATATAGCATGGTGCAATGCACAATGCCATCACATACTACCCATATCCTCACATGTGTAGCTCTTGATTTGTGTGTGTGTGTGTGTGTGTGTGTGTCAGTATATACATGTCAACAGATTAAAGTCGGATCAGATGTTTCATAACATCTGTCTTGTGTGGTTAGGAATCTTTGTCTCCCACTCGCTGTGGAGTGTGTGAGAATTTGTTTGCAAGTATTTGCGGTAAGTGAGGTTAATTTTGCCCATAGTTCTCAGACGTTTTTTTTTTTTTTTTTTTTTGCATAGTAACTGAACTCTAGGCTGGTGATTAAAGTTCACGACTCTCTGTGCACATCTTTATCCGCTGCCATGCTACTCTCCCACGCCCTATATTTTGTTTTGATCAGATTGTGGTGAGGAGGCCACACACCCACGTACCTCCTTATATGCAGCTGCATACCACACACACACACACACACACACACACACACACACACACACACACACACACATGCTGACATTGCATTGTAATTAGGAGCAACAGATTGTCATGATATCAGATGGGAGAC